TCTTATGTTTTTAAACTTATTTGACATACATGCAACGCGTGCCTTCTGTGCATTCATTATTTTAGTCTTTGCGTAATTTTGTGTATTCATTGCATCGTAACCATATGATCCATTAAGTGAAATCTTGCAAAATAAACTTTTCCTTTATTTCCTTCTAATTCAGCTTTTGTCTTTCGTTCATAAATTCGTTCGCAAATTCATTAAAACAAGTGTTTTTCGTAAATGTTAAAATTGATTGAATGTCATCAATGATAAAATTAAACCTGTCGATTAGATACCATAGATAATAAGAAGAAAATGGTTGATATTGGTTGTGTGTTGATGCTAACTGAGTTAATTTCCTCTGTTTCTGGTCAACTGGTAGATTGTTTGATTTCATGTAATTATACATAAAACTGCCAATTGTTTTTTCATCTGTGATAATATCTAAGTTTCTTATTATCGGTAAAAAGTTTATGTAATCATTAATGTATTTTTCATCAATATGACCCTTTACTTCAGCCACGAATAAAGTATTTTTCTTCTAATTATTCCCAGTGCTTTTGCTTTCTTTGTTGCTGTATCACAAATGATAACGCCATTCAATCTTCCCGGCATATACATTTTATGGTCAGTATATTGAATGAAATCATGAGGATTAGATGAAAATGATGAAGGATATAATGAATTAAAATCAACACCAACGAAATGAGTCATAATGTTGGTGGTGTCCTCATTTGATACAGTTTTAGTTTCTGGATATATGAAAGTTTATTAATGTGCGTGATTCCTTTAAGATTTACTCTATGTTGAACATTTGATAAACCACCAGTAATTCCATTACGGAGAATGTGATAAGCTTCAACTGAATCTAAAGTCATTGGTAAATTATTTTTTAATGCATAATTTCTTAAATTGATTCTTAAACGTTGAACATCTTCATCTTTATTTGATTTTACGACATTGCAATAACAACACATTAACTGACAATTTTCTTTGTATGTGGTTTTTCATTATCGATTCTATCTAATGTTGGTTTATTAGCATATGTAAACGCTTTACCACACATTTTGCATTTAGATGAAAGGATTAAATCGTGATAGTATTGAAAATCATCCATTGAAACATTATTTTTAGTATCCCTTTCTGCTTTTTCATCTTGTTTCTTATATGATTCAATTTTATATTTCCAATACTTTTTCGTTAATTCAAAACTTGATTCTATCTCTTCCTCAGGATATTTTTCATTAGGATTAAAGTCTTTATATGCTAAAGCGTAACGAATCATTGAAGCATTCGATGATAAAGAAAGATTATGAAGCATATCAATTTTATAAACAAATGTTTCTTCAATAATTTTATCGATTGGGTCAATCATAATTTCAACATCTTTATTGCAATAATGAATAAAATATTCTAATCTATTCTTAAAATTTTTAGCATCATTGAGATATATTTGATAATCACTATCTGATATAGTTTCTTGAGTTAATGCTGAATAAAATGAATCTTTCGTGAATGGTTCCTCTTTATATAATTCTTCTTCGTAATTCTCCCATGTGATAAATTGATAAGGGAAAAAGGATTTAACACGTGATTTATTGTTTCCGAAATCTTGAGTGAATTGGTCTAATGTCCCACCCGCTATATAATTTCTGATGTCAATAAATCTCAATTCATATGGAACGTTTGTTTTCTTTACAATGATTTGCTTAAATTGTGAAGATGAACCCAGCATTGATTTTATTTTCCATTTTGCAGTGTTTAAATCACGAAGAATTAAATTTAAATCAAACTTTCCCGAATTAAAACCTATGATATTCACTTTATTGAATTCCTCATCTAGAAGTTCTTTAAATGCTTCCTTCTGTTTTTCATTTAATGTATGGGACAAAGTCCCCGCCGTTTGCGGCTTCATAATTCATTGTATTGACTCATATTTGATTTAGCAACTAATGAACAGGTTGAAAATAAAAATCAATCCAATCAGAAATAAAAGAATCACTCGAAGTTAAGCAAAAATTCCTCGTATATGTTTTATCATTTAATTTAACCGTTGATGATACCATGAATGGTTTTAAGTAAGCGTTCAAAGTTGCACACTCAGAAAGTTGTAATTCTTCTTTAGTCTCTAATGTTTCAAAGTCAAAAGTAATATAATATCTTGTCGGTTTATAATATTCTGCAAATTGTGAGCTAATAACCACTGATATATCTTCTGTTTCGTAATATGTGGTGCATATGGTTGCTGTGTCTTTTGCAATTGAACGTCTTGAATTAATCTTCCATTATTTTCTTTACATTTCTCACAATGCTTTAAAAATCTTCTTTGGTTTTTCCTTTCTGGATCATCACGGATAGAATAAACTTCTTCTTTACAATATGGACAAACTTTATAGCCGGTGAGTGCTTCAACGTCTGTTATTCTGTCAGCGTGAAGTTTTCCACATGGACTCTGTGTTAATAAAATATTTACTGTTTCAAATTCTGGATCTATCATTATTGATTCCACTAATGGAAAGTCTACCTTATTTATGTCCACGTCTTCTGGTTGAGGATCACAATAATAGAAATCAATATTAACATTTAACATTCTCGCTAATCTCTCACTTTCTGATGAAATGTCAAACCCTTCATATGCATCTATTGCTTCATTTAAATAGCTTCTACGAGTTTTAGGATTAACACCATCAGGAATGTTATAGAAGCGTTTAAATAACCTTCTACCTTCTGCTCTAATTTGATTATCATTCATTTTAGCTGTTCCGTTTTTGTTCATTTATGTAAGAATAAAAAATTAAAAAATAAATAAAAATAAAGTTTATTTTTTAAAGCCCATAAAATGAATTAAGAACACATAAATTTTTATCATCTGCGACGTGACGAATACATTTTAATTTACTCAAGAATGCGTACCCTGATACATTAAATCTAATTCCTGTCTTATTTAATTTCACAACTTTGAAAAGGAATGTATGAATAGCTATAAAATGATGAGAAGATGTTTTATGGGTTGCTTCCATTTTTTCTGAAATAAATGAATAAATATAATGCTTATACGTTTTCATATCTTTTATATTCTTAATAACGAATGGTATAGACCTTTCCACTTCATCTTCCTTCGGTGCTGTTCTTTCATATGAAACATTATTAGTATCTTCAACAATGAAACCGCAATCACATAAAATTTTATATGTTCCAATGGTTTCTTTTGATATTTTATCTAATAAATCAAAAACTTTATCAACACCTGTGCATTTATTTAAATAATAATTTGTGTAAATATCATGATCTTCTTTCTTAATCGTATTAGTTGCATATGTCACGTTTTTAAGAGCTTTTTTGAATTTTGAATCTAAGGTGGTGAAAGTAAGATACAAGGGTATTCTTCATTATCAATAAATTGTAACTTATGTTTACGTATAAATTTAGTACCTTCTTCTGAAAGTGTTTCGTCTATTTCACCATCTAATAAATTTTGTGTTGATTCTGAGACATAATTTTTATATCTTTCTTCATGAGATTTCTGTACTTCTGATTCTGAAGCTGGGATATTCATTAAACCCTCTACTTCATTTTCATTATATTTTTCAACTTCTCTTAATTCCTTAATTTTTTCATCTATTTCATCTCTTATTTTTTTCAGTCTTTCAATTTCATTGTATTCATCATCTTTAATCCGTTCTTCATAATATTCAGGGAAAACATCAGGTTCTTTAGGTTTTTCTTCTTCAGATGTGGGATATAAGAAATTTATAACATCATCTTTATTCATTTTTCCATCATAATCTAAATCATTTAATAACTCGGCAAATTTTTGACAATTTCTTAAATAATATTTATCAACTTCATAACCCACCTCCTCTAATATATCCTTTATTTCCTCGTTTGTGAATCCTAATTTTTTAACGTTGTTAGTTTTGACGCTCATTTCATACAAAATAAAAAAATAAAATAATAAACATAACTAAGTTTTAATTTTTCGTAAGAAGTTTATTTTTTAAAATTTTTTTTTATTTTTTATTTCATTATGGTAGTGAATCTTTTATTCATGAAAATAATTATATCTGATTTATTTTATTCTCTCGTATATACTAGATTTAAAGAATTCAGAACATTTCCCATAATCTCCTAAATGTTTTCTTATCCCTAACGTGTGCCAGTTATTATATGAAACTGAATAAACTTTATCTTTATCTTTACACCTTTCATCATTACCAATATATTTATATCTCAGTTTTGATTTAGCGTTTTCATATTCATTAGCGTTTAATAATTCGCAGTCTTCCTTTTTAAATTGATGTTTAAGATATTCAGGATTTAATACTCTACGTTTATATGCTCCTAACTTAGTTCTAAAGGTTTTTCTACAAAATTTAGGAATTCCATCCTCTTTAATGTCATCAATGATTTCCATTTCATTATTTTCAATTTCTTCTTCTCGTTTATGAGGTCTTTGATTATGACTCCATTGATTCCATGAAATTAAATATTCTTTATCATTATATTTATACCTCATTAGCTTATTTTGGCTTTCATATTCATTTAATAATTCACAATCTTCATTTTTAAATTGAAGTTTAACCCATTCAGGATTTAAACAATGTTTAATTAATCGCGGAATATCTGACATCATCTATATATAGATTATTTTATAAAAGATAAAAAATAAATTATTTTAAAATTAATGTTAATTTTTTTTAATGATTTATAAATAAATATATTTTAATGCATCGTCTATATATAGATGTAACAAAAAAAGTCACTAAACCCGTCATATCCTACTACTATTGAAAGATCTTAAGCGAAACTTGAACTTTCATGCAGCCATAGTTGAGAATAGTTTATTTGAAATCTTTTTGTAGTGATAAGCTTGTTTGATTCATTTCCGAATCAAGAGAATGATGAATCTATAATAAAAGTTGCAGCTTTAAACGAAATGATATCTTTTATTTGATCTTATTAGAAATGTCTACAGGTTCTGAAAGGATTCGACATTTCGATAATTTTTATTTCACTTTATGAAACTCTTCAAAACTTTAGGTTCTGAGTTCACATATTTTTGGAAATCATTCTTAGAAAATCTTCCTGAATGGTTTGCAACAATATGCCTTGGCTTAGTATCAGTCGTTATCGCTTTAATGATTGAACCCAAAGAAAGAATTGCCTTCTTTGAGAATTTCAACGAGAGATATCCTTACTCAGGTGAAACATTAGGCATACCTATTGTCGCTTTACTGATTATTATTCTTCCATGCGCAGTTCTTGGAATTCTAACTTTAGCATATCCACGCAGAATGGAATTAAACTTAGCAGGAATGAGTTTGGCCCAATCATTGTGCTTGACTCTTTTAATTACAGAAGCTCTCAAAGTTACTGTTGCTCGCCCACGTCCAAACTTTTTCTCTTACTGCCAATACGACCAAAATGCAAAGAAATGCACAGGTCCATCATCACATAAAAGAGATGCTAGACTTTCTTTCCCATCTGGCCACGCATCAAATGCATTTGCAACAGGAACATGGATGTGCTTATTCTTAGGAGAATTCTTCCATAACAGTGAAGAAATCTGGTGGATAATACTTCGTTTCATACCAATAATGATCGCTACATTCATTGCTGCAACAAGAATTACAGATTATATGCATCATGTAAGTGATGTTATTAGCGGTGTTGTTATTGGCATTGGATGCTCTACAATAATATTTAGAGCTCAGTCAAATAGAATCTTCATGACAAATCATAGAAGAGAAGAGCCAGTTTCTCTTCTTTAAGAGTCACTGGAATAATCACATCGGCTATATATTTATTAAATTGTAATTATATTAGTAATTAAATTAAAGTTTTTTTAATTATTTAAAATAAAATGGAATTTTAATATGTTAATATACCTTTTGATAAATACATAAATATTATATGTCTTCACACTTAGGATTATCGATACTACAAGGGAATATTAACTAAGATACGATGTTTTGGATATAAAAGTATTGAACAAGAGAGAAATTGTTATGTACGTATTGTAAAAACATATGAATTAACGTGTTGATATGGAATTTATCGTATAATGTTGTATATTTAAGAAATAATTTTGATAATTTTGTTTGATAAAGGCCAATTCTATGATAAATATAAATTATATAAATTTTAAAATAATCTGATAGATATTATTTTTCGAAAAATTTTGGACAATTTTTCGAAATTATTATTTTTCAAAGAAAAAATGTATTTTTAATAGTTAAATTCCGATTTTTGAAAAAAATTTGGAGTTTTCTGGTAGTTTTAATTAAGTTTCTCATTGTCAGTTAATCAATATTTATATGAAAATTTGCTACAATTCCAATAATTAATAGTAAATATTGTTATAAATACATAATTTCTCATTGATACATGATTATCCATGCTAAATATAGCAATAAAATGCATAGTACATAAACAGCATTATTGATAATCACAAATTCTAAAATATTTCATTCCATATAACGGAATCGGAAAATAAACTAAGTGATTTGGTCATTTTTAAAACAGTTCTATTATAAATTTAACTTTTAAACAAACAAAAAAATATTATTTAAAATTAATAAATACGAAAAAAACAAACAAAAATAAAATTATTATAATATCGATAAGTCCACACCATTATCATTTGGTAGTTCGTCATCAGACAGGTTATTTTGCCTTTTCAGCTTCAGATACAAAGTCATTCCTCCGTAACCTAGCAAAGCAGACAAAATAATCGATCCGACAATTATAAGTGCGATGTGGAGTGTTGTCAGGCCATGGGAGTCCAAATCCGGTGCGAAACCTTTGAAAGAAACAATAATCAAAGATTCGCTTTCAACCAAATCGACAGCGATTGGTGTTGCAGGAGAATCCAACTCATTTGTACTCAGTATACTTAGATTCATCCAATTCTTCAATACTTTGTTTGAAGAAGAGATTAATGTAACTGATTTTATGTAATAAGTTGGAGTTATCAATCCATAGTTCGATTGGTCGAGAGTTACATTGACGAAGATCGATTTCGGACTCTTTACAGATGAATTCTCGTTGGCTGCAATGACAACACGACTTCCTCCTTCTTCTAATTTGACGGATAAGTTCAAATTGCATTGGGAAACATCTGTATCGACCAATGTAAGTCTGGCCATGAATGGAATGACCAAGCGACCCTGTAATTGGACGGATTTAAGTGTAACTTGTGCTAATTCGCCCATTGAAAAAGATTTGATGACAGGAAGCTTGTTGAGGGAGTTAACATAGAAGTTTCCGGTTCCTATCATTGATACATCACTGAAAATGACTTCGAGGGATTGAGGAGCGATGTTAAAGTTCAAATCTGATTTATCTGGTAAACTCATCGGAGGAATACTGGCTTTCGACACGAAATTGGCAGCATTCATCGTTACATCAACAGAGCCTGATATTTTTAATGGAATATTTTCTGACTCGGTATTGATGACGATAGAGTTTATCGTTCTCAACTCGATGGCCGGGATAAGAGGCCATTTTCCGGTGACGTTGACCTCCAAGGACTGAGTTGATGCGGGCGTTTCGGACAGATATGTGAATGGCAGTTGGGTAAATGCGGAATTATCGCATTTTATGATTAATGATGTTCTTCCTGTAGCAGCAAGTACTGGTCTCATCAATTCTATGCGCTTGAAAGTGTTGACGTTGCCTTGCGCATCTATGAAATTCCATGTGTCTTTGCCTGTGAAGATAATTGACTTTGTTGAGTCGATATTTACGTAAAATGTAGTCAATCCTTCACTTTTCAGGCGTGAAAGTGTCTTTATATCTACGACAAGCTGGTCAATATCGGCCATTGAGAATGCTTTGTTAACAACTTCTACATTATGAAGATAAACTTTTGGTATATTTACAGTTGTTATTCCTACAGCTGCGAAATTGAGTCTAACGTTCGCTGCATCTAATATTCTTACGGAAGTATGCGTCTCTGAAGTGAAGACCATGTTGAAAGTCAACATTGTCTCATTTTGGCAGCCAATTACAGAGATTTTTCTCGGCCTTCTCGCACTGTCGAAGTTGAATACGTCGTTAGGAATCATACTCTCATACAAAGAAACCTTTACAGTGATCGTATAAGCGGTTATGTAATCTGACATACTTCTTCCAGTGATATTGGGGAACATAAACGCGTATTCGCCACATTGGTCAACAGCATTTGAAGGTGCTGCATAGCAAAAGTGTGGATAAACTCTTGTGGGATAATCCATGAATTTGAAACCGAAAAGAGTATAAGAATCAGTGGTTGTTATGACCGCTTGTGTGATATCTGTCGATTTCGTGAAGCCGATTATCCCTGTTTCGTCATCAATATGAGAATATTTTAATGAAGTCTCAAGTTGTGGTGGAAGATGCACGAAATAGTGTATTGTGCCTTTGTAGGGTGCAAATTCCACGTCTGTTGGCATTTTTGTCCCAATAAATTCTGTAATAAAAAGTGGCTGGTTTGGCAAAATTTCTGGCGTATTTTTGATCGTCAGAAGATGTTGGTCGAAGTAATATCGTATGTGGACGATAGAATCTTCATGAAATGCGATGAAATTAAAAGTAGCGTTGATATGGTCAATTAATAAGGTCGATCCAATAGTAACATGAATCTTGTTATCAACGGGCGTTGTATAATCTGTTCCTTGTAAAGTCATATTGTATATGAGAACGTCATTCGTCACCGATGATGATAATTTAGCATTGTTTAGAAGCTTTAGGCTGCCAATTGAAATATTTGACTCTTCTTCAAAATAAATTGGGGATGAATTTGCGATTATTTCATTTAGAAAAACCTGTTGCTTCTGGACAGTTGTAAATGGAACTATTGACATGTATTCTGATGAGTAAATAGATGTATGCATGTAACAATTGGCTAGGTTCACTTGGAGATTGGAATTTGAAATAATTTTGTTCAAAGGAGTTGTTTTTTCAAGAATTGGCTTCTGTGATATATCAAGTCCATAAATATATATGCTTGTAGACTTGGAAAGATAAAAATAACAAGGGGTTGTAAAATTCGGGTTCAATGTGAACTTAATTGACAATGTATTGGAATTTTCTGACATCTCTTCCGAGTAAAATTGAATTTTAGGTGTATTCATGAACTGCAATGTGTAACAATTCGCTTTTGACACTTTTGTAAAGTTTATATCTGTTTTTACATCAAGTGAGTCGACAATATTTCTGACGAACGCGTTGTTCTTGGCATTGACAGTAATAACACTGTTTTCTGTGGCGTCATTCAAGGTAACGTCAAATAAATTTTTGGCATCAATTGAAGAAATGTTGAGAATTGAGTTCAGGTCTGTTGTTATATTCTCACATTCGAATTTTAATTGATTATCACCAAGAAATGTTACGTTTTTGAGAGAAATTGTCTGAGATTTAAGAAGTAAAGAAGATTTATCGGATTCAATGGATATTACTGTGTTATTAAGAGTCAATGACTTAAAAGTTATCGGTTTGTTCGTGTTTGATAATTTGAATTTTATGTGGGAAGAATTAATTCCATACAATGCTACGGTGTAATTTGAATAGTCTGAGATGTTGATTTCGACGTCCGTGGAATTTTGTGAGTCTACGTAAACTTCGACAGTATAATTTTCAATATATCTCAAGAAAATATCACTTAAATCGGCTATTTCATACCCAGATTCGTCTTTACACCTGCTCGTACCTGGCTCGGTTGTCAAGCAGAATTGCGTGGACTTAATGAGTATAAAAAGATAAAAGCATAGCATTTTCTTGTCACGTTTTATAATGCAAGCTCAATCCAAAATTTCAATCCAAAATTTTGATCGGATTCTCGATCAGATTTTACTGAGCAATCAATATATAATCTATTCTATATTTATTGAATTGAATTGCTACCGATAGGATTAAGAGAATTATCGGACATAGATTTTGTACATATAATGGTATATGTTTCTGATTTAATCAGATTTTTTAATTTTCAAATGAACGTAAATTTTCTGAATAAAATTCAATTATATTGCCCAAGGTTAACAACAAAAACTATTATACAAGTTTTTCCATTGATTGCGATCATTTTCTCTCAATTTGATTTATTCTGAACATTAGATCCGAATTGAATTATCTACATGATCTAACGGCACAGCACAATTTTTCATAAAAATTAAATTGGATTATGATCGTATTTTTCAAATGTTGAAAAAAAAATATATCCGATTCACAATTAATTCATGTTAAATATTTTACAGTTGCTTTGGGTAAGCATAGGCTATTCCAAAATACAATGAAATAAAATATCGTTATAAAATTTTTCTATATTAGAATAATGTTCTTTATTCCTGACCCAAACTAGAAAGAATTCTACACTTGCTTTATTTAGCGTAATGCTCCTGAACAAAATTCGATATTAATTGAATAATAAATTGAATCGTTAAATTAACGAACCAAAAATGAATTAGTTAGCTTAAATTACATGTTTTTAATATTGTTCAACGCGTAAAGTTAGAAGAGACAAAAAATATTTCTTCTTTCAAAATTATTTGAAAAAATTAGAAAAGTTCTACTTAACGTTGTTTTGTAAAATACAATTTTGAGGTTTTCTTGAAAACCTTGATACAAATCATTTAAAAAGGAATCGCATCACTACTGTCGCTGCTTTCGAAGTCTGTATTATTAACCAAATTAATGTATTCATTTTCGTCGTCTGATTCAGTATCTTTGGAAGATTTCCCATCGGCTGTTTTTGGAATTTGCATTTTTATTTTTTCTTGTTTTCGTTTTTGAATTTGCTGATAAAACTGATATTTCACAAATGATTGCTGTCGTTGAGCGTATGCGTTTTGGAGAGCTATTAATCTTTGAGTGATATCAATTATTCTTTTTTGTTGCTGTTTTTGCTTATTTTCAATCTCTAGGCAAATGTCATTCATCGCATCCCTTATTGGCTTAATTTGGATTGGGTAGCTTGGTTTCATTATGATTTCAAATTCAACAAAAAATATTAGAAAAAGTGACATTATTTCAAAATCTTGAAATTGCAAAATGTCATTCATTTCTATCGGCGCACTCCACAAGAAGGTATAAACATTTATTGTGATAACATATTACCAAACATCGGACATTCCAAATAGAACTGATTCACTTCCATGTTCTGATATCATAAAATGAGAAAGTCAAACAATTTTATGCTCATCAATTGTATTTCCTCATCAATAATAATATGAACCTATATTGACTCATGCATATAATAAGTATATTATTATATTAATGCTGAATGAAAACAAATCTATCTCGATGTGAAATGGAAATTTGGAGAAGAGCTCCTAAACTAAGTTATATTCGCATAACAAGCTGATATTAGGTATGAAGCATTTATCAAGCTTATTGATACTAACTATCAAAAATTCAAAATGAGTTAATATATAAAAAGAAGCTATAGTATATTAATTTGTATGTTTATATTCTATAACAAATATGATATCTTCTGCATATATCTATCAATGGCATTTGCAATATGTGAAATAAGAGGTTCAGTGATTACTTTCCTACCATTAATTTTTGCAAGATGAAGAGCGTAATTTCCTATTTTTATATATATCTTTCGCATGCGAAATAAAAATTTCAGATATTTCTTTACAATTATTTTCTGCTGCATAATGAAGAGCAGTTTTTCCATCATTATCTTTTTCATTGATATTTGCATCATGTGAAATAAGAAATTCGATTATTTCTTTACAATTATTTACTGCTGCATAATGAAGAGAATTTTTTCTATCTTCATCTTTTTCATTGATATTTACACCATGTGAAATAAGAAGTTCGACTATTTCTTTACAATTATTTTCTGCTGCATAATGAAGAGCAGTTTTTCTATCTTCATCTTTTTCATTGATATTTACACCATGTGAAATAAGAAATTCGACTATTTCTTTACAATTATTTTCTGCTGCATAATGAAGAGAATATTTTCCATCATTATCTTTTTCATTGATATTTACACCATGTGAAATAAGAAGTTCAGATATTTCTTTACAATTATTTTCTGCTGCATAATGAAGAGCAGTTTTTCTATCTTCATCTTTTTCATTGATATTTACACCATGTGAAATAAGAAGTTCAGATATTTCTTTACAATTATTTTCTGCTGCATAATGAAGAGCAGTTTTTCTATCTTCATCTTTTTCATTGATATTTACACCATGTGAAATAAGAAATTCGACTATTTCTTTACAATTATTTTCTGCTGCATAATGAAGAGAATATTTTCCATCATTATCTTTTTCATTGATATTTGCACCATGTGAAATAAGAAGTTCAGATATTTCTTTACAATTATTTTCTGCTGCATAATGAAGAGAATTTTTTCCATCTTCATCTTTTTCATTGATATTTACACCATGTGAAATAAGAAGTTCAGATATTTCTTTACAATTATTTTCTGCTGCATAATGAAGAGAATTTTTTTCCATCATTATCTTTTTCATTGATATTTGCATCATGTGAAATAAGAAGTTCAGATATTTCTTTACAATTATTTTCTGCTGCATAATGAAGAGAATATTTTCCATCATTATCTTTTTCATTGATATTTGCACCATGTGAAATAAGAAGTTCAGATATTTCTTTACAATTATTTTCTGCTGCATAATGAAGAGAATTTTTTCCATCTTCATCTTTTTCATTGATATTTACACCATGTGAAATAAGAAATTCGACTATTTCTTTACAATTATTTTCTGCTGCATAATGAAGAGAATTTTTTTCCATCATTATCTTTTTCATTGATATTTGCATCATGTGAAATAAGAAGTTCAGATATTTCTTTACAATTATTTTCTGCTGCATAATGAAGAGAATTTTTTCTATCTTCATCTTTTTCATTGATATTTACACCATGTGAAATAAGAAGTTCGACTATTTCTTTACAATTATTTTCTGCTGCATAATGAAGAGCAGTCTTTCCAAATGTATCTTTTTCATTGATATTTGCACCATGTGAAATAAGAAGTTCAGATATTTCTTTACAATTATTTTCTGCTGCATAATGAAGAGAATTTTTTCTATCTTCATCTTTTTCATTGATATTTACACCATGTGAAATAAGAAGTTCAGATATTTCTTTACAATTATATTCTGCTGCATAATGAAGAGCAGTTTTTCTATCTTCATCTTTTTCATTGATATTTACACCATGTGAAATAAGAAGTTCAGATATTTCTTTACAATTATTTTCTGCTGCATAATGAAGAGCAGTTTTTCTATCTTCATCTTTTTCATTGATATTTACACCATGTGAAATAAGAAGTTCAGATATTTCTTTACAATTATTTTCTGCTGCATAATGAAGAGAATTTTTTTCCATCATTATCTTTTTCATTGATATTTGCATCATGTGAAATAAGAAATTCGATTATTTCTTTACAATTATTTACTGCTGCATAATGAAGAGAATTTTTTCTATCTTCATCTTTTTCATTGATATTTACACCATGTGAAATAAGAAATTCGGTGGTTTCTTTACTCTTATTGAGTGCTGCATAATGAAGAGCAGTCTTTCCATATTTATCTTTTTCATTGATATTTGCACCATGTGAAATAAGAAGTTCGGTTATTTCCTTACTATTTTTACATGCTGAGTAATGAAGAGCAGTTTTCTCATATTTATCTTTTTTATTGATATTTGCACCAAGTGAAATAAGAAATTCGATTATTTCTTTACAATTATTTTCTGCGGCAAAATGAAGAGCGGTTTTTCCATATTCATCTTTTTCATCTACATTTGCACCATATGAAATAAGAAGTTCGGCTATTTCTTTATTATTTTTATCTGCCGCATAATAAAGAGCAATTTTCCCATATTTATCTTTTTCATTGACATTTGCACCATATGAAATAAGAAGTTCGGCCATTTCTTTACTATTATTTTCTGCTGCATGATGAAGAGAGGTTTTTCCATCTTGGTCTTTTTCATCTACATTTGCACCATATGAAATAAGAAGTTTCGCCATTTCTTTATTATTTTTATCCACTGCATAATGAAGAGCAATTTCCCCATATTTATCTTTTTCATTGACATTTGCACCATATGAAAGAAGAAGATACGCAAATTCCTTACTATCCTGTTCTACTGCATAATGAAGAGCAGCGTATCCATCATTATCTGTTTCATTGATATTTGCACCATGCGAAAGAAGAAGTCTGGCTATTTCTTTACAATTATTTTCTACTGCATTATGAAGAGAATTTTTCCCTTCCAAATCTGTTTCATTGATATTTGCACTATGTGAAATAAGAAGTTTGGCAATTTCTTTATTATTGTTTTGTACTGCGTAATGAAGAGCAGTTTTTCCTATTCCATTTTGTTCTTTGATATTTGCACCATGAGAAAGGAAATATTCGCAAAGAGATGGAATAGCAAATAGTGATGAATAAAGAAAGCATTTGTTAATATTATTAGTTTGATCGAAATAAACTAAAAATGATTCAAGATTATTATATTTTGCACAATATTCTAAATTGATCTTAATATTAAATTCATTCATCAAGAAAGTAACAAAATCAATGTTGTGTGAGATAATTGCATATTCTATGCATTTTTCATTTGGTTTTTGATGTTTCAAACATTCACTCATGATCTCTGCATTCCCTCCTAAAAATGAAAATTCTAAACATTTTTTAGTTATTTTTGAGCTGAATTTCGTTCTTAAGAATTTGAAACAATCAACTGCTCCATGGTAGCAACATAATTCAAGTAATGAATATCCTTCGAAAGAAAAAGGATATAAATTGCTTATCAGCTTTTGATTATTATCAAATTCTTCTCTTTCGACGAAAATGATGAATCTTTCTAAGTCATTATACATAATTGCTCTGTAAATTGTATTATTTGTCTGAATTGCGAGATTTTTAGTTTTAATTTTTTCGAAATCAGCAAATTTGTCTAATTTAATTCCATATCCTTTATAAAACAGGAAGTTTGAAATAGGTTCAACTTTGTTGACCTCGTTGACATGATAATCATTAGATATGAGTTTAGCAAGATATAAATATGACCTTGTATAGCGATTATTATATGGAATGATGTTTAAAATATCTTCCATTATATTTTTCGGAGAATATCCCTTTGAGCCAATCAATTCTGTTTTGATCATTTCGTAAATCTTGTTTAATTCTTCTTCTTTTTCCGTTTTCAGCTGATATAATGCAATATATGAATCGATGTAGTATGCATAGATACTTCGAAGTTCAATGTATTGATTTGGATCAATGTCTTGATCAGACATCAAAAATTGTTTTAAAAGTCGTAAATTTTTAAAATTTTTATTCCAACTGTTAACAAAAAATTTGCTGATTTAAGGTTCATTGTGCATACAACATCAAACATGTATTTTTGAATTCTACAAGAGGTTGATCTATAGATCTATAGTTGTACTTTTATTTAGGAAATTTATTGAAACATTTCAACATATGTAAATAGAAACATTCACATGGATTGATTAACTTATTTTTATGAAAATAGAAACATTCAAAAGGCTTGGGTATAACTTATAAAAAGATATATTAATGAATCCGTATCAAAATAAGTAAAAATCCTATTTGTCTAGTTCTATTTATATGGATACAGAGTAATGCTCACAGCATTAGAACTCAACAATATAAAACCAAAACGTTCAATTTTCTTTTTTGAGAATTTGGGTGTTTATATGAAAAACGTTTAAGAAGAAACTGCCTACAGCAATATGTACACACATAAGCCGATGAGAATAGAAAATATATTTTTGGATATCTGAAAACATAATTTGTGCACATGATTCCTTAATAAATGCTATGCATTTGAAAAAAATCAGTTGTATTAATAACATTCTATAGGTTTAATAACAATAAAATTAATAAAAATAATAATAAATTCTATTTGCAAAAATAACTAAAAATATAGAACTGTTCAATAAATTCGATTGCTTGTATACATTCAAAATGATTGAATACCATTGAATAAAAAGTTATTTTTTGGAAATCAAACAAAAATCAAACAAATATATGTTAAGGAACGTAAGCAATGATTGCACGTATTTCTTTCATCATAGGTTCTTCTTCTTTTAATGCAAATTTCTGAGATTTGAAAACTGGACCCAAATCAGACGAAGCAATAGATTCGTAGACGTCATCTTTATCTGTTGGACTTAAAAGGTTGGTCAGAGTCTGAAATTGTTTGTAATAATATCTTGCTTCCTTATAATCCGGCAAAAGAAGAGCGTTTAACCATTTTGAAGACACTTCAGCGAGCTTTGTCATGAATCTGATCTCAATTTTCTCTGATGGAATGTTCTTTCTCGCAAAAGCAAGAATATCAACATTATCTGACTTTTCCGCGCATTCTCTTAACTCATTTCTTATGAATTCTGCCTTTGACGAGTTTTTATCAAAGTCATGAATGCTTTTTTGAAGGATCTGGAACTTTTTTGGATCATTTGGAAGATTATGAATTTGTTTTGTAAAATCAATGTCTGTAAGCATCATTAGCTTAACGCAAGCTTGTAGCTGTGATAGAGAAAGGTAACGAGAGTAGAATTCTGCTTGTACAATTCGATAAAATCGACGAATTGGAGGAATTAACAATTCAGGAAAGTTTCCATTGCTATCCAGCTCAACCATGCTTTGGAGACACTTGTATAATGACTCGGCGTTCTCGAAATGTGTAGCATTTTGATTGATTAGGTGAGCAAATGTTGTAAAAAATAAATTAATGGCAGTTTTTCGCAATCTGAGATAAGATTTGTGATTAAAATCAGGCCATTTGATTCTCCTCAACATTTCAAGTTCCAAATTGAATGCTACCATGAAATCTGGAAGAATTTGCTCTCTAACAGCGCCATCAGCATCCAATCCGCCTCTAATCTGTATATATGATATAATGTCACCGACCATATCCATGATTCTTATTTCTTCTTGTTGTGGATCTGAAGTTGTTGGTCTTTGATTTGCAATATCAAGCAGAGTTTTAACGTAATCATCTAATTTCTTATTAATTTGATCAACACTTTGCTGCCATGATGCTTGCACAATAGAATTTTTAACAATATTAATTATATTTCCGATGGTCTGTGGATTTGTGATGTTTTTATCGAGAACATTTTTCAGTTCTTCGATAACTTCTTCGGCACTGAATGTGGCATTGAGACATGCCTCATTTATTTCACTCCGCGTCATTGGAAACAGCGACAATTTTCAAATTTTGAAAGGTCATGCAAAAAAAATAAATTGCAATTGACATAAAAATAACATCGTCATTGCAATAGCAATAAATATTATATGCAAAAATCTCCATAATTCTATCAATATTTTTTTTTGAAAAGATGTTGAAAACCAGAACATGAAATAATTATATTTAAACTCAGGAACATCAACGAGGATGAGTTCCTAGTGCAATCCACGGGCTACCGAGAATGTAAGTCAAATGTAAAGTTTTCATTCGCAACGTTAAATACTCATCTCGGATTTTTATCGTGCTTTTACCAAGAAAGCAGATATCCTATTCATGGGTTAACTGAATACCGAGTTTCACAATTGAATGTAAATTTCAATGTAAAATATTTGAAATCTCGTTATTTCGAAATAATTGTAAAATATAAAGAATTTTATGCTGATTAAACAAGATATCTATCCTTCAGAATTAATTGTGAAGGAATAATAATTTTCAGAATGGACAACTTCTCTGACAAGCTCAGCACCGCACTGAAGAATCCAGATCATGAAACAGATGAAATTTTAAATCTAGCATCTTTGCATCCACAAGTTGCTGCAATTGATTCGAACTTTATTCAATTCGTCTTAGAAAATATGGACGAAATTTTTCAGTTAGCCTTAGGATTAGCAGGAGAAGATAACCCTGGACTTCAGCGAAATGCGTTTGCAATCCTCACTATCAAAGTATCTAGTTATATTTCATTATTGATTTCGAGTGATCAATTCTTGGAAAACTTAAATGAGACGATCGAAAGCATAGGAATTTTAGAACCTCCGAATCTCAAGCTTTGGGTTCGTATGATGAATACCCTCCTTGATCTTACCGGATTTGCCATTCTGTTAAATCTGCCAGGCCGAAAGAAGCTTTTCAGACGTTTGCTACCACATGTCGGAAAAGTCGGAATCTATGAATTTCTTTTCAGAATTTGCGATGATGGCCATGAAGCTTCGCATCAATTTCTTGAAAAAACACATTCGGTTACAAGTATCTACAACTGTCTCGGCAACGGCTATGACTTGCAAATTGTCAAGTTATTATGTGCCTGCTGCTATTCAGATACCTCAGGCAAGTTAATTCTGAGTTTATCAAGACCAGAAAGAACAGCTAAGATATTTAGCTTTGCAGTTTCCGATAATATTCTTTTAAGCAATGCGGCAATGCAATTACTCTTCGAAATGTCCAGCCATTGCGATGAAGATGACGAAGATGACGAAGATAGTTTATTCCAAAGAGTATTCATGAAAATTGTGGAGCGCATAGATGAATTAATAGAATTTATCTGCAAGCCACCATTTACATCTGCTAAATTCAGAGCAATTGACTTAATTATCGGAATGATCTCAACAGAACATGCCGATTTCGACAAAATATTGAAAGTTCTCAAATGGGTATGGGACCAAACATTCGCAAATCCTCTTTTAAGCCAGATACATTGTGCAATGCTTCGAATTTGCAAAGCAATCTTCGATTCCGAAGAGTTACCTGAAGAATTCGTCACACAATGCCAATTCAGAGAGCGAATTATCGAATATAGCAACAAGAAATGTACGTTTTCGGGACATCTTTACGAGATTGCCAGAATGATTCACGAAATTGAAGATTTTGATAAACAATCCCAGGCATGGAAAGACTACATTAACGGTCCTTACGCTAAAATACGCAGTATCCGAGAAAACGGCTACGGAGGACCTGTTCCAGAAAGACACAAGATTTCCATCAGTGACTATAAGGTCGATGGAATACTGGAACAAACAATTCAGCAACCAACTAATTGCTAACCCAATAATATATTTAATATATATATTGTATGTTAAATTAAATGTATAATCTCTCAATATTTATTAGGAAACTCTCAAATATGATATTTTTTTTTCAAATACAGATTAAGGGTGCATTAACGCTCATCTGACTTTCATTCAAAATTCTGAAAACTGGAGTCATATTGAAATCAGAAATATCCAAAGATTATATGAGATACTGTGCACTAATTGAAGAGGTCATTTTAATTCATAATTCATTGCAATAATTTCCTCAAATCTTAGTAACTTTTTCTATATTCAAGCGATTTGAATATGTATCATAAGGTGCGTAGAATACCAAAATTACGTGAAATTCTGTCGTTGCATTTTGGAGATGCAAAATTTTGATTTTTAATGTGTGGTTTTAGTATGTGTAATCTTGTTCTTATCTCAACGCGATGGTACCGCTGCAATATGATTTAAATTAACAAAGTTGTACTTAAATTGAATAATGCGGGAGAATAACTGACAATGCAAATAATTATATACTACAGAGTAGTTGTCAATTGGAGTAATAAATCATTCTGCGTCAATCATTTCTTTCGTTTCTGGCATGACGAGCAGAAAGGAAGCGATCAGTAACCCTAGGAAAAAATAAGAGGAGCGTCACTTTTCATGCATTTTCTCTATCTTTATGCATGCCAAGAAGCATCTAACATTTTTATATTTTAGATCCTGATCAATAAGATTTTTTTCCGAAATTTTTTTTTTGAAAATTTTTCATTATAGCTTAGAAGAATGATCCTTTTATTTTTCACAAGATTTATATTAGCAGACACTGACACAAGCCAAGAAGGCAGCAAAATCAGAAGCAATATAAGCAGTATTTCCAATATTTCGATTTCAATTATTCAAAGTCAAGTAGAAAAAATCAAATCTACACCAGGACCAGTAGAAACATCAAATATTACAATCAGTAACTCAAGTTTAGAACAAAATTTAACGATTTGCAAAGCTCCTCATACAAGATTACAATGGGGAAATAAATGCATATGCGAGGAAGGATATTTCGGGACTGATGAACAAATACAAACAACTGGATGCTATACATGCAAAAAACGTTGCCATCATGCAGCAAGTTGTGTTGAACAAGATACTTGCAAATGCAAGAGAGGCTTAGTTGGTGATGGAATACAATGTTCTTTCCCTGAACCTAAAATTAAGCAAGTTTTAAAGCCATTTGAAAAACAATTAGCTCCAGTAAATGTTTTAGTAGAATTCGATGCACCAGAATTCATTCCATACCTTGCATTTTGCAAGATTAATTCTAAAACAGTTCCTGCTTTAATTTACAATAATCAGACAATTGCTTGCTTATCTCCCGATAAGCAAAGAGGAGAAGCATCAATTTCCATCTCATACGATGGAAAAGTATACTCTCCTTCTCAGAAATACACAATTGTACCTGGCTTGGTCGAATTGCCAAAACCGGCCATTCATCTTGGAATTCAACCAAAAACTAACAATTGGATTATTCCATCAATCATTGGTTTCGGTATATTGGTCTGCATTGTCTTGTATTTTATCCTTCATATTTTCAACGGAAAAATTGCAATTCAGAAGCTTACTGAAGAAAGACAGCCACTTATTTCCAATAAGGGATCAAGTAATCACGAAGAAAAACGCGCAAAAAGGCGTGATATTTAATAATTTTTTTTAATATTCTTTTTTGTACATATTAAAGCTTTGTTATTTGATATAATAAACATAATTAGAATGTATTTCAGAAGCACATATCCAATAAAATGAAAAAAGTTCAATTTCTAAAATTAAAATATACAAAATCATGGCATGGAAAGCCATGCTAAAAATTACATTGCCAAGTTAACATTATTAATGACTGCTTAACATCACAAGTTAATTAAAAAAAATTGACTAATAAAATCCTTGTTCGAAAAAGAAAATTCACTATTTATCATGCTATTGTCAAGGAGTAAATAATTGATAATAAAATCATTTTGTGAAAAATGTCATTTTTTTTTTAAAATACCATATTGGAAGATATGGAAATCTGGCATGATGATTCCAATTTTTTAACTGCATTTAGAAGGTTTATTGTAGATGAAAAAACCGAATATTTAACTCAGTATATTAACAAGAAAGAAACCATGATGATGATCCAATATCAGCTAGACCTGAATGAACCTAGCGATAGTTATAAAGTCGGCCTTATTCATATTGCTGCATATTATAATTCTCTTGATTCATTCATTTTTCTTGAAAAAAATTTAGGATTAGATTATACAATGATAAAATCCGTCGACAATAAAAATTGTTTGCACTATGCATGCAAAGGCGGATCTTTTGAGGTTGTTGTTTACATTCTTAACAACTACATGAATTTCAAGGACTTTATTGTTAAAACGGATGCAAATTATATTAATTTTGCGTTGGAATCGAATTCTGTTGAAATTGCAAGATTACTATTGAAAAAAGAGTTTACTTTTACACCAAACGATGAGTTTATTAATAGGTTGATACTTAACAAACAGATTGACAGCCTGAAATTCATTATTCAAACTAACCAAGAAAAAAGAAATGCCAGATCTAGTTTAAAATTAGAAAAACAACTCCTATATATCATTGCAATCAATAACATAGATATGATGAAATTGCTTTTCGATAATGATGAAAATTCATCTTTTCAAGATTTTTATAAAAGTTGCTTGCAATTGGCTTGCTTAAATAATTGTGAATATGCTGTTGAACAGATCTGTAAAAAAGTAGAAAATATAGACATTCCATTTGAAGAAGAAGCAAAGGGAGCAATACATTGGGCATGCAGTTCGTGTAATCCAAAGATTGTTAAAATTATGTGTGAGAAAAACATTCATATTAATAGATTTGATAAAAATGGAAATCTTGGACCTGTTGAAATGATTGATAAAGCAGCTACTGCCGATTTTATTGATATCATGCAAATTCTCATAGATAATGGTTTTGATATTGATCAGAGAAAAGATGATAAACATAATTCCCTTCTTGGAAGTATTGTTAATTCAATAGAAAAGGATTATGAAGTTATTACTTGGCTTATCAAAAAAGGTGCAAATATTGATTATCGTATCGTAGATATAAAAGATTCTCCATCAATTAGAGATTATATCAGTCGCGAGTCAGCTGGTTACAAAACATTTTTGGCGAAGTTTAAACTTATATATGAATTATTAATTCAAGGATATGATATCAAAAAGAAAAATTAAAATAAACTGTTCTTGCTTTTTTGATTCAACTGTTTGGTTCTTATTTCTCATAAGCATTTATCTTTTCAATATATTATCAATACGGTGTATTCTTTCTTTCAATAATAGTTGTCAAATTGATGCTTTGAAGAAATATTAAATGTTAATCTTTGATTCAATATTTTGGGAAATTCATTGCTTATTTTATTAGCTTTTTAATATACTTATCTCAGTAAAAAAAGTATATTTGCTCACATAAGAATAAAGACAAGGGATAAGCAAAAAAGAGTTGAAAATTTCATCAAAGATTGCAAATCGTAAAATTCATTTGTTTATGAGCCATTTAATCTTCATTAGGCATTAAAGGTACGATAATTAAATAGAATTTTACTATCGCCTTAGGAACTAGAATATCAAGTAAAGTTACTTATAATGATATCAAAATTTGGGAGCAAAAGCATTTCATAAAATAAGAATATAAACAACACAATTGAAAAATAGAGCCATTTGAAAAACAGAGATATATGAATATTATCAAAGAATACATGTAGTGAAGTTCATTGCTTCTGTTTTTGATCTATTTGATCTTCATATACCAGTAGAAGTTGGATCATTGAATAGACTATTTGAAACAAAACTTTCATGTAGTGAAATTCATTGCTTATGTTTTTGATCATCTCATACCAGTAGAATTTGAAAGATAGAAAAACAGAGCCATATGAATACAATCAAAGCTTTCATATCATGAAATTCATTGCTTATACTATTAATATATATATATTTAGATATATTTTTTTTTCAATCTTTAATCAAACTTGACACATAAAAAAATAAAATAATAAAAAAATAAAACATTAATCAGTGCTTTGATTTTGATTATCATTTTCAGTTGCAGCATTTTCAGTATCTAAGTTATCATTATCCGAATCAGAGCTCTCAGCCATTTCTGAGTTAGTTATCTCAGATTTTTCGTCAATAGTTGTTTCTGATGGATCAATTGGATTTGACACTTTTTGTGATTCATTTTCATCTTGTTGCGGTGTTATTATTGCGTTTGTTTGAGGTGTTTCCTCTGACTCGAGGACTGCAGCTGAAGCTCTTCTCATCAACGGCTTTGCCTGTTGTGCATCAACCTTGACAGGAGACTCGATTTGTGTTGACAACTCGATGAGTTGTTCTTTTGAAGCCGAAATTGGTCTGTTGATGACATTTTGGATCTGTGAGATTCCTGTGTAGTTGTATTTGATTGACTGGAAGTCAACCAATCTTGTAACGAACTGTCCGATCTTCATTCTCTTGTTGAAGTTGATTTTTCCATCAACAAACTCTTCTCCGCCGTATCCTGACTTAGAAACAATGCTCATCTCGTATCTCATGTTCGGAACACATGGTTTTCCTTCCTTCTGGCACTTGAGAACGTTCTCTTCGTATGCATCACTCTTCTCAGTGAATCCGTACCTCTCCTTCAGATCAGTGATCATATTCCTCGATTCTTCAGACAAACTGTCGAAAATTCCAGAAAGATTTGCAATGATGTCAGAATCAAAGGCATCGACAATCCATGTGATAGATTCGTAGTTATTCAGCTCTTCTAGCTTCTGTGCAATCTGAATAACAATCTCCATGTTGTCTTTGGCTTCAGATGCGTCACCTTCGCCGACAATTGTCCTCATTGCGCGGTGTTTAAGCTGTTTTCCAAATGCGTACAGCTCGTTGAGTCCTGGAGTGGTCGGTCCATATGATCTGTTCGCAATCGCTGTGTAGAACTCGCGTGGGTTGATTGATGAGAAAATCTGTTGTGTCAAAAGACAGATTTGGCGGGCAGTCTCTTCAGGAACAGGTTCGGCAAGGCCAAGGTATGGATTGAGAAGCCTGGCAAGTGGTGCTTCGCTCTTGTTCTTGCTGGAATTTGATGACGGTTTGTTCTTTTTGACAATTAACTTTTCTGGGACGATTTCAGGGGGAGCTTCCGCGGAAAGCTTGGGGTGGCCGTACTTGAGGTCCTTCATGAGGTTGAGAACTCTGTTGCAGCGTTCGTTGTTTTGGGATTTGAGGAAAAACGAAATCGCGTTAAGAGTTCGGCTGCCAATGAAGAAGCCGCTGAAGGTAATCCATAGCTCGATGAGATTGATGATTTTGATCTGGTAAAGTGGGAAAAGATTGTATAATGTAATAATATGAGCGAAAAAGTGGGCGCTGGAGCAGATTGAGTTGAGCGTAGAGAATATCTTTTCTTTGGTGCCTGGTTTGACAAATTCTGGCTTATCAATAAGCAAAGAACAGACAATGGCATGAATTGTAGCCGTTGCAACGGTTTCGGAGCTATGTTCGTCATCAAAGAAGGTCATTTCGTCTTCGTAAAACTCTGGCTCGCATCCTCCTGTAAGGGAGCCTTCGTATTTAACACTGTAATTGTCTTGATCGAATTTTTCATCGTACATGATAAAGTTATCGAATCCTGTGTCATCCCAAAGGTTATCTCTAGGACCTAAGGACATAGAAATGAGCATGCGAAGGTCAGTTCTCTCCCATTCCTGATCTTTACTTTGAAATTCGAATTTTGATTCGCGGCATAAAGTATCTGCCTCGCTGTGAAGACCAATAGAGTGGAGGTGCTGGTAAATAAGCTTGAGGATTCTATAGTGATCTAATTGTGAAGCGCTAGTTGTGTAATTAACGCGTTTTAGTTTTCCGAATGAATGTCTGTTGGTCCACTGTCTTGTTTTCTCTCTGAATTCAAGAGCAGTTGGGTGTTGTTCATAAGTATCTGATACCCACATCGCCCTGTCTTCAATCGGGATTCCTTTTTCGGTAACTGTTGGCTCCGTTGGTAATTTTGCTGCTTGTGGAGCTTGGTTTTGTTGATCGGGCTGTGGTTCAGGCTCAGGTTCTGGAGTTGGTGCTGTCTCTTGTTCCGGCTCGTGTGCTTGAGTTATGTCTGGTATTGTGATGTTTAATTTAATTTGCGGCATTTCTGGTAGTGTTTGTTCTTGAGTTTGAGAATCTAACGCTGAATTCGTATTTTCTGTTGTTTCGACATTTGGCTGTGGTTCGGGCTCAGCACCTTCTGGCTTAGCGTCGGGTGTCGACTCTGTAACCTCAGTTTTTACTTCCTCTTCACTCATTACTGCCAGTCACTTTTTTTATTCGAAATTATTTCAATAAAAAAAGTCAAAAAGTGACATTTTTTATTTGCAATAAAAAACGAAAACTATCATCAAGAAAATATACATTTTTAATGAAATTCTAGTATTCAGAGATTCAATATAAATGATTGATATATAGAGTTCAATCATTTTTATTTTGTTAGATGAAACATTTTTTTTTTCTTCTCGGATATATGGCTCTAAAAACAAAGATATCACTAATATGAGATCGAAAATCTTCAAATGTAAAGTTTCCTTATCAAGAATATGATAAACTAGTTATATTAAATTGAGTTTTTCGAATTTTTGAACAAACATGAAAGCAAAACATTTAAATTCATTATCCTGAATATGAACATGTATTTCATATTCTATATGGCTTCTGAATGTTAGGAATAGAGACGAATTATAAGAAATTATTGAGTCTACTTATTAAAATCTACTTCATATTAAAGAATGATCTCTTCATATCGGAGAGAAGCCTTAAATAATAAACAAATTTAAATTTTGAAATTAACAAACAGAATATTTATATAAATAATAAACAAATTTATAAATTAATGATTAAACTGTGGTCCTGGTGCCTGACTCTTGAGTTCAACTTCAGGCAAATTAACATCAAACTCATCAATGAACTGACCTATATTCATAACATCAACTTCGATGTCTCTATCTGAATATAATCTCAATCTATAATCGCAAGATTCTCCATGAGCATTTCTTGTGATTGTCAATGTCCATGGATATTCACATCTATCGATATACCATTCAAAGTTGATCATCGGCATTTTTGAAGGCAAATTAACATGTCTGAACTCTCTTCCAACAAAGATTCTCGAAACAGGTTGTCCGTAGTTATATGTAAGATAAGCTTTGAGTGATGTTGGTGCTCCTGATCTTTCCAAAACAGCCTTGATTCTTGTTGGTTTCTTGAATCTGATGGAAATGTTGTTGACATGTGTCATGTCTGGGCAGTTTTCGTTGTAAGGATGAGCTCCATCATTTGCGTCGTGTTTGAAAGATGATTTGATCTCATACAAATAAGAAGATAACAATCTATCAAATGTATATAAGAACTTGAATGAGTAAATGAACTCTGAGAACGGAATCCAAAACGTTCCATCATCTGTTGGACTCAAATGACACAAATCTTTCAAGTCTTTGTTTTCTTGCCATTTCATAGAATCTTTCGGCATTTCAACTGAATCTTCATCGATGTTGTAAGGATTCCTCAATCGAAGCATTTGGAACTTCTTCCATTCAACGTAATTATAAATGGCATATGAACTTTGCTTCTTCAATTCTGGATTGAATTTACTCGCACATACATAACCGCCATTTTCCAAAGTGTTTTTGATGAGTTTGAACATTTCTCCGTTCTCTCTCATCTCAATACCATTGTCGCTGTCCAAATCAATCAAATTAGAATATCCATCACACAGCATATTGAAAGCACTTGAGCAAAAACCGCCGGCGATTTGAGAGAAACCGCCAGAAATTTTTGAGAAAGCTTTTTCAACAATTGAAGCGAACCAAGCAGAAGAAGCTGCGGAAGTAGGGCCAGAAAGTTTTATGAATCCTCCTTCGATAGGGATCATTGAGTCAACAACTGAATATATATCTTTTCCAAGATAATTGAAATGTACTGCGAAAATTCCTCTTTCCAATTTCACAGGTTGTTTAAACAAATCATTGATGACATTCTTGTCGCGTGATAAACAAGATAAAACAGCCATTAAATATGAATCATCGACATCACCACAAATAATGTCATCTGTCTTGAATTCTCCAATGAAAGGTCCGCTAAAGAAATGTTCAGCTCTCTTCCAAACGGAGTTTGCAAAGAGTTTTTGGTCACTAACTCTTGGTTCAACTTGAGGAGGAAGTTGAGGATCTTCGAATTTGCTGACATTTTCTTTTGCCATGAAATTCAACATGCCATCATAGTATTTATTAGTTTTTTCATATCTTTCAATCGCATGCAAATGATGTTTGTTTCTTTCTGTTTGCGCTTCAAATGCTTTCTGTATTAACTGGTTTTGTTCTTGTCTAAATGATCTGTTCTTGTTATTTATTGCTTTGTAAACTTCAAACAGTTCAATATAATCGTCAACTGTGAAATTTTCTTTTTCAATGAAATCCCATTTCGCTTTGACTTTATGTAGGTAATCTCTTATTGTTCCAACGATATTATTAGAGTAAATATCATAAGAAACGCACATCTGTCCTTTAAGAGCCAAAACATATTTGTGTTTTTGTTCATCAGCGTTTGTATCATTATCAACAAATCTTATATATTCATCATGAGTAAAGAAAGATTTTCCTTCGATGTTGTTATGGAAATCAACACAAGAAGTCTTAATTGCGCTTTTAACAGTATGCTGCAATGTATGCATTTCAATAAACTGCATTGTTTCAACGATTTTCAGATCGATATCAATTAATTTCGAACAAGCCAAAAAGAAAGGAACAACAAAAGCAATTCCTTGCAAAACTAATCCCCATTCAACGAAATTTGTATATGTCATTGTTATTATTCCCCATATCCATGGTACATAAAACAAAACACAGAAACAAAATGACATAGAATTCTTCTTTTCCAAATGACAATTTCCGTAAATATTAACAGGGAAGAAAATCTCGGAAACTGCGATGGAATAGCCTTTCTTTGTTGTATTAATAGCTCTGTATGTATGTAATAATACATAGAAATACAAAGAAAACAAAACAAAAGTAATAGAATAATAAGCATCTTTCGATTTGAAAATAAATGAAATAGTTATAGCAACTGTATAAATAATTGTAACAATATATGATGCTTGAGCACCAAATGACTTGCTTTCGAAGAAATATGTCAATGCAAAACATAATGTTACTATCAAAACTTCGAAAACAATGTGTGAAAAGTAGAATATACCTGATGCTGCAACAACTATAGTACAAATGAAGGAAATAAGCCATGAAACACATATAATTATCAAATGATCTAACGTCATTTCGTTCTTATTCCTCTTTATACGGCAATATGAAAAGAAAAGACTTAATCCGTAAACAATTAAGCCAAAAATAATCAAAACATACTTCCAATTGAAGTAAACAAAGGCTATAACTACTAATGCGATGCAAGAAACAAACAAAAATACAATTAAAGTGATAAATGTCTTGAAATAATAATTATTATCTTCTTGTGTTGCCAAATTATAGATGGAGAACAGGAATATGAATATTAGATAAACAGCTATTGATATAAATTTGGTATTTCCGAAGCAAAAGATAAAAACAAAATATAAAATTGTTAATAACAAGACAACACCTGTATAAAGCGTATAAACCCAGTAAGGACCGAATGCTGCTGAAAAATCAGTAAAGATATATTCAATATATTGAAGTTTGAACGTTCTTTTGAGTAAAATTTGGATCATCAAGAAACTCCAAGCGACAGAAACATAAACTCTAAGGTCATAAGCATCCATATGTAATCCCAACATGAAAGATAACATAATTACTGCAATTAAAAAGAACAAAAAGATTGGAAAAATATTAAATATGAAAGTTGGCATTCCATATTGATAATCTGTAAGCCACATTGCTAATACAAGCGATGTAAATATTGTTAGGATGATTACAGAGACAATTACCCAATATTGGGTTAATTCATATTCTTTGTAAGTTCCCAAAGGTTTTTCATCCTTGACTTCGTATACATAGATCTCAGATATAAGAGCTATTAACGTTGCGATATTGAATAATAGGTAAATTATCTTGATAAACGTCTTATACATATGATGACCTTCAAAAACATGGTGAATTGCATGGAGAACTGATTGGTCGATCGCGTATTCGTTTTCTACGATGGGAGCGATACCGTGAATCCTATCAAATATCGATTGGAAGTTTTTGGTGAAAAAGTAAACTCCAAGCGTTATAAAAACGATACATTGATTGAGAATCCAATACTTTGAAGCCATGAATACTGTAATTATCTTCAAAATAAGGATAAATGATATCATTGGTATCTGATTTTCTAATGAAAAAGCAATGTTTTGAGTAACTAGAACTAAAACATCGAAAAATATAAATAGAATTGCTGTAGATATTGTCGCATGTTGATAGTCATCATCTTGCTTATATTTCATGATAAATTTGATATTCAATGCGAAAGTTAAAAGTGCTGCAATGCCTGTACCACCTAATCTTATCACTAAGTAGAATGGATCTGTAATTGTCGTGTATTGGTCAATCTGGCCCTTTCCTAGTCTCTGTAGCATTCTTACTTCAAATTTTTCGGATTCTATTGTCTTAGAAACTTCTTCTGTATTCATTTTAAGTCGAGCTATGCACATTGACAACACATAAATCCATAATGATGGCCAAATATTTGTGAGTGCTTCAGATTTCCATGATTTTTGAGGAATAATGAATGGGTGTATAACAGTAAGAACGAAATATACTAACATTGCTATTCCTGACGATAATTTTGCTAAAAATGTTAATTTATGACCATTTTTGGAATAATTCATCATTGTGAAGATAAACATCATTGTAACGAGAGGAATTAGTAAGATATCGACGCCTATTACTTTTGGTGTTAAATTTACGCAGATAAACAATCCTAATATGATGCATAGTACGTAAGGAGCGAAATACACTATCCACCAGCAGAGCTCACATATTAGTGATGCTTCACTGAATGGCTCACGTTTGATTAAGTATGAAATTTTGTATCTGGCATTTAAAATTGGCCGCCAATTAAATGAAAAATGAAGAATAATGGCACCAAAAATGAACACCACGATGATGGTTACTCCGTATTGAAGCAGATACTTAAGAAATCTGCTTTTGTCGAGTCCATCGGGCGTTTTAAATGTCATTTATATTTCACTATACGTTTGTTTTCAGTTAATTCCCCTTTTTAAACTAAAATTTTGTAAACTTATTAATTTTTAAATAGTTTACAAATGTAAGCATCTAAAAAATTCAATAGGATAATCCCCTTACTTCGGAAGCTTCGACTCGATTTTTAAATAAGAGAGATGTATTAGTAAAGAAATTAATTTGAACAAAAAAAGTGGCATTTAAACTATAGATGTGAAAAAAAGAAAAATTTAGGGGCAGGCCGGAATCGAACCGACTACCCAGGGATCTGCAATCCCTTGCTCTACCGGTGAGCTACTACCCCCACGAAATTTTGTTTTAATTAAAGATACTAAGATTAATATATCAAAGTCCAAAACATCAAAAAGTATTAATTTATTATTATCAAGTTATTTCAAATAATTTTCCATTTGCAAAAATTTCTATGAGTTTTTTGTCACTTTTATTCAACTAAATTTTATGCAAAAATCTGATTTACCTGTTCATTCTATTATTGGGACCTATAAAGTTATTAAAGAAATCGGTACTGGTAGTTTTTCTAGTGTTTTCATTGGTTTTGATGAACATAACAAACGCGAAGTTGCCATTAAATTCGAATCATTGAATTCCAAAACGCCAAGTTTGATGTATGAATACGATATATACCAATCAATGAAAAATTCCAAGACGATCCCTCAGATTTATTATTGCGGATCAACCAACCATCATATTGTAATGGTAATGGAGTTAATGGGTAACTCTTTATATAAATTACTTCAAATTTGTGGCGGTAAATTTTCTCTTTATACTACTTTAACTGTGGCAACAAAAATGCTAAAATGTGTAGAGGATTTACACCGACATGGATACATTCATCATGATATAAAACCCGAAAATTTCCTTATTAGAAAGGATAATCCCTCAGAAATATGTTTAATCGATTTCGGACTTAGTCAGCGATATATTGATCCATCATCTGGTTCGCATGTAGGATATACAACTGGGTGCCCATTTGTGGGAAATGCACGCTTTGCTTCTATCAATTCTTTAAGTGGAGTAAGTTCATCACGAAGAGATGATATTGAATCGTTACTGTATATTTGGGTCTATTTTTTGAGAGGAGATCTACCATGGATTGCTTTGGGAGGTTCGAACCCCAAAGAGAACCAAAATCTAGTATTAGATATTAAACAGAAAGTAAAGCCAGAGAAACTATTCAAAGACTGTCCACAAGAATTTTACAAAATTTACTTTTATATTAAGCAAATGCGATTTAATGATCCTCCAAATTACAAAAAAATAGAGAATTATCTGCAAACGGCATTCAAATCGGCATTTCCTAAAATTACTAATCAAAGCACGCCTAATTACGACTGGAATAACATTCCAGCTGCATTCGACTATTCAAATTTCAAAGAACCATCGGCAGCAGTGCCCAACTAGCATGCTATTTCTTAATAAAATTGTTTGTTTGTATTGTTTTTTCATTAATTACTGTTTTTTTCTAAATTATTCAATTCCGAAAACTCAATGTATTAAAGATTGAGAGCTGTCACTAAGCAAGAAATAGTATATTGCATTTTATCGATTTTATAAGTATAAAACATAATATTGAATTCAAAAAAATAAATTACACAACAATCTTCTTTGGTCTTGTAGCTGGTTTTTGTACATTAGCTCTTGGTATTGACTTCATAGAGGTTCTCATGATAGGAAAGTTGCTAATAATCTTCTTTTTAGATGGCTGTCTCGATACAACTCTGGATAATGCAGATGAATGCTTCTTAACATCTTTGCTTGTAGGACGCTCGTGAGATTGCGACGTTTTTTGTCTGATTTTAGGAAGGGCAGATCCGGTGAGCATCTTCGACATCGCGTTGAAGCTGAGGTTCTGAGAAGAATGTGTAAGTAATTGGCTCTCGCTGAGGTTGAGGTTTGAAATTACGCGATCGAAGAAGTAATCTACCTTCATGATATTAACGTAATGTGTTATCTGGCGAACTGTAGGATATTGCTGGTCACACCCGCGAAGCCATGGATGCTGTAATGCTTCTTCAATTGTTATTCGTGCCTTTGGATCAACTGTAAGAAGTCTAGTAAGCATATTTGTTGCGTCCGAGGATAATTCGTCAGGAATTGTGTAATCTCCTGATTTAATTTGTTTGAAAAGCTGAGCTTGATTTCTCTTCTTCCATGGGAGCTGACCTGTAAGCATAGCATACAAAATAACGCCTGCGCTCCAAACATCTGTAGTCATTCCATCGTACAGTTGTCCAGAAATGCACTCTGGCGATGCATAACATGGAGATCCGCATGGTGTTTTCACAAGACCCTGAGAATCAACGAAAATTGAGAGACCAAAATCCGAAATTTTGATTCTACCCAAATTATCGATAAGGAGGTTCTCAGGTTTGAGGTCTCTGTGGCTTACACCATGTGAATGAACGTATTGGAGGGCTTCGAGGATTTGTCTGAATAACGGTTTAGCTTCATCTTCTGAAAGATTGTTCCTATCAACAATGAACTGGAATAGTTCTCCGTTTGGACAGAACTCCATGATTACGTAATAGTTGTTATCATCTTTCAAAAGATCACATAGCTCTACAATACCAGGATGATGCATCTGCTGTGCAATCCTTATTTCAATTTCGAAACGTTTCTCGAGATGGATTGTGTTTAAACGTGCTTTAGGGACTATCTTGCATGCATAATATTGATTGTTTTCGATATTCTTAACTAATTTAACAACAGAGAAGGCGCCATCTCCTACAGTGCCACGAAACTTATATGGTCCAATCTGTGGTGGCTCAACAATCTGTATATTTTCCATTCAAATTTTTTATGTTTAAAATTTAAAAGTGACAATATAAAAAACACTTCCATTTTTCAGATCTTTGCTACGAAATATTGGCATGATTGAAGGATATCTGACCTAATAATTTTGATATTTAAGCGTTTTATAAATATATCTACTTACTCTATTATCAAGCTTTCTTAATGTCCTCATGAATTTCGCTGAAGATCATTATCAAGTAAAATAGAATAATAATTTTCGCGTCGCAATCAGGTCAGGTAAGTGGGGCTTCCAGGCGCGTTGCGCCCTCTAGCCCCTAAGAAATTTTGCCCAAGACCCAAGAGGAGGACCGAACCCCAGCCGACCAGCCGGTGACAAAACCAAAACCGTTATTATTTACATCATATTAATAGTGTCACTTTTTAAAATGTCACTTTTTGTTTCACTTTTCACAAATTATATATGTTTTCATGTTTTGTCACTTTTCTATCACTTTTCGGGTAAAAACATTATTATTATGAGTGGGGGACAAACTCGCCCATTGTCACTTTTTCATTAACCTTAAACTTGTAATTTTCATTATTTTTAATTAACCTTATTTCTTTCCCAATTCCTGATTTATTTTATTCACTTACTATTAAAAGTCACATTTTAATAAAATATAATAATTTATTTATAGCATTTTTTACTATACTGTAATAAAAAATTAATTATAATAAATTAAATGTTTATTAAATCAAATGTTTTCTTTGCAATAATATTTTTAATGTTGAGTAAACAATGTTGGGATCAAGTGTATCATTTTTCAGACCTTTCTGAACAGCTTCAAGCATACTGATGCATTCGACTTTTTTAAATTGTGTCATTTCTTCGAAATCTCTTGTGACTTTTTTGATAACTTTAACACTTCTCTCTGAATCCAGACCTTTAATTTGCAACTTAATCAGGAATGAAGGAACAACACTGGAATATAACTCGATGACAAGTTCATCGAGTCGAAGATTTGGTTGTACACCACTTGTATGTGCCGGATACCATTGTGTCAAATTTTTTCTGAAATTAACTTTAAAAGTACTAAGTAAGATCATGAGATATAGCAATATATGTTTAAACCAACTTATATTTTGGTTGTACACCACTTGTATGTGCCGGATACCATTGTGTCAAATTTTTTCTGAAATTAACTTTAAAAGTACTAAGTAAGATCATGAGATATAGCAATATATGTTTAAACTAACTTATATTTTGGTTGTACACCACTTGTATGTGCCGGATACCATTGTGTCAAATTTTTTCTGAAATTAACTTTAAAAGTACTAAGTAAGATCATTTATTTTTGCATAATATAATGCCAATATGGTTTCTTTTGATTTTATTTCATTTATAAGCAAATCAAATTTACCCAAAAACTCCACTCCATAAGCGTTCATTTGCTAAATTAAAAAGTGACAATGGGCTAGTCTGTCCCTTTCTCTTATTATTATATATAAATGAATTTTACAAAACCACCGTTACCATTCTTTGGAAATAAGAGTAGATGTAAAGATATTATATTGAGACAACTTAAGAAACTACCGAATGGTCTAACATTTGTAGATTTGTTCGGTGGAAGTTTCTATATATCCCATTTGTGCCATACAATATTCCCAGACTCAAAGATTATATGCAATGACTTCGACAACTATATGGACCGTCTCAAACATATTCCAGACACAAACAATATATTGAAAGAGTTAAAAGAAAAGATACCTATAGGTAAGATGGAACGTATACCATTAGATAAGAAAAATATTGTGAGAGAGGTTTTGAAAAAAGCAGAATATATAGACTGGGATAGTATATCTGCTAGACTATTATATAGTGGTGCTATAAGAGTTCATGACATTGAAACACTTATGTCAAAAGTTTTATATCTTAACTATACAAATGTTTTCAAAGAGGACATAGAAAAATATATTGAGGGTATAGAGTTTGTGAGATGTCATTGGACAGAGTTGTATGAAAAATATAAAGACAAGGAAAATGTTTTCTTTATAGTGGACCCGCCGTTCTATAACACATGGGATTTTCAATATCAAGTAGACTGGACTTTGAGAGACTCTTTAGAAACTTTAGATGTTATACATAACCATCCATGCTTTTACTTTACATCCGATAAAAGTGGTTTGGAAAGTGTCATGAAATGGCTAGAGGACATACATGACTATGAGTTTATATATGACAAGATAGAATATGAGAGAGGTCCTATAAACCGGAGAAAGTGTCACAATAAAGAAATTTTATTAGTAAGTAAATGTGGTTTGAAATAGGACTACTTGTTTTAGGTTTTTTCCATTGTGTCATTTATTTATTTGACGTGGCAGAAAAGTACAGAGAATATGAAGATGAACCAATGCCTGCAAATGTTCAGCATATGTACTCGTAAGAGATATTTTTATCTAATATTAAATGGACGCACAGAACTTAGCGAATGCACAGCAACCTGGACAACCAAACCCAGAGAATATTCCAAATGAAGTTAGAATACAAACTGCAATGGCAAACTATGGTCAAGTGCCAACAGATGTACAAATGCAAACTGCCATGTCAAATGACGCTGCGTTAGGTTTGCCACCATGGTATGCAAATATGAGATGGAAAGAGTTTTATACAAACCCTGAAGTGGGATATAAACAACTTTATGCAGATGACGCGAACACAGGAGTTGACCCAGAATATGTTTTCTACCAGAGGAGAAACAGAATGTATGAGCTCCAGTTAAAGAATGCTATGGAACTCAACAGGAAACGTAAGAGACTAGGCGGACATTAGATTTTTACATATAGTAAAATGGGTTTCTTCAGTAAGATAGGAAACTTCTTTCGAAATGTTGGAAGAGGTATATGGAATGGAATAAAATCTGTCGGAAGAGGAGTATGGAACGGTGTCAAAAATATTGGGAAAAGAGTAGGTCAGTTTGTTGGTATTATACCTAAAGACCCTGAACCAGAAGAACAAGCTCCTGTAATACAACAGCCTGAACCTGCACCACAGTCAAGTTGGCAACCACAACCGGTATATTAAAAAGTTATATTTTTATCGTTCGATAGTAGTTGTATATGAAACTAAGTTCTAAGTAAAACGCATGGTATAATGGAATTATTCTTTTTCTTCCATCTGTAGTAAACATACTTGAAAGTCTGAAATACTTCCACTCGGCGGTTCATATAACTTTGTAGGTTTTTCGTAAACGTCTTTCATCAGACATAAGAAAGAGTTTTGCGCACCAGAAAATGAAGCATGAACAATAATAGCATCTGGGTCGAAAATATTTTCATATGTTCCATTAGGGTTTTCGACTTCATAATAGTCCGGGTGTACTGGATATGCTGCAGGCTGATTTAACATCCTCATAAATCTATACCATGCCAAGTTGTTATATTTTGTATAAATATAAACGTTTTCTCCAAGGTCTTCTATTTTATTGATTTTAACAGTTGCATTTTTCCTGTCATAAATAATATCGAGATGGTATTCTCCTTCGTCAATGTTATACTGGTTTGCATATTCAATATAGATATCGTTTATTTTTTCTTGAAAAGCTTGAAGAGTTGTTTCTAAGTTTATAAGCAAACTAACTTGTAAAAGTTTTCCCTGTTCAAATTTCTCATACATACGTTTTTCTTTGTTATAGTATCGAACTTCAAAACCGACCGTAAATGGGAAACCATGTATGGCTTCTGAAATGAACTTCATTCTACGAAAGCCAATAGCTTTTGTGACGGATGGGTCTCTTAACCATCTTAATGGGTAGTCAAAACGATAGCCTTCATGCTTTACGGTATCTGTCTCAAACTTTTGACCGACATTAGTAAAAAGTTCATCTAATGGTTTAGTTGTAGCAACTCTAGAATTTTCTTTTTCTATTGGAAGCATATTTTATCTAGAATAAAAATGTCGAAAGATATTGCTTCCATAAGAGAAATACAACACAACCGACAACTCATTATGCAAGCTCTAAATAAGAACACAACAAACTTTTCAAACTATTCTAAGATATCTGAGTCATTGAAGGATGGAAACGTAAAACTGACATTAAACCCAATGACAGATGAGTTTCTGTTTCAAGACAATAAGAACCATACTGTCTGTATAAATCCAACAAAAGGAACTTTAAACGAGAAACCTATAAATGAACTTCTTTTGAAAGCAGATGTTGACAACAAAGCTGACAAAGAATATGTAGACGATGCAATAGCAAAAGAAGAAGAAAGAGCTAACAATGCTTATGCAACAAAAGAACATACTCATCCTGAACTAGCAGACAAAACATATGTTGACAATAAAATGTCAAGTGAAGTGACAAGAGCTGAAAACGAATATTCTAAAAAGACTCATATACATTATATTAACCAAATACCAAGTCTTAAGGAAACATTAGAGACAAAAGCAGATAAGAATCATACACATACCATTGCAAATATTACAAACTTACAAGAAACCTTAAACAGGAAAAGTGCCGTTGGACATACACATACCATTGCAAATATTACAAACTTACAAGAAACCTTAAACAGGAAAAGTGCCGTTGGACATACACATACCATTGCAAATATTACAAACTTACAAGAAACCTTAAACAGGAAAAGTGCCGTTGGACATACACATACCATTGCAAATATTACAAACTTACAAGAAACCTTAAACAGGAAAAGTGCCGTTGGACATACACATACCATTGCAAATATTACAAACTTACAAGAAACCTTAAACAGGAAAAGTGCCGTTGGACATACACATACCATTGCAAATATTACAAACTTACAAGAAACCTTAAACAGGAAAAGTGCCGTTGGACATACACATACCATTGCAAATATTACAAACTTACAAGAAACCTTAAACAGGAAAAGTGCCGTTGGACATACACATACCATTGCAAATATTACAAACTTACAAGAAACCTTAAACAGGAAAAGTGCCGTTGGACATACACATACCATTGCAAATATTACAAACTTACAAGAAACCTTAAACAGGAAAAGTGCCGTTGGACA